AGTCACAATCATATATTGGAGTTATTGGCTATTGGAGTTAACACCGGGCAGCAATTAACCGACTTTGGTCTGAACGACCGTCGTTGCCCGTTGTCGTAAACGGCAGCGTTCAGGACGTGCTCCGACCTCAGTAGATCAGATTTCGCCCCGCCGTGAAACTTAATCGGCGTGGACATGGCGAGTTTAAGCCGGGTTAGGATCTGACCTGGACTGAAATGTTAAGATGAACGCCGCGCTTAACTTCATTGATCAGCAAGCTGGCGAGCTGGGCTTCTGCACTGCAGTGCTTTTGCTGAGCATAATCACGTGGAGGACACATGGCGCTTCGCAACAACAGCACCCAGCTCTTTGAGCTGCCGCAATGCAGTTCCTTTTGGCGACCACACAGAAAATCGACATGCAAAGGTAGCACAGCTTGTTCTGAGGTCCAGCGAGCCAAAATTGGAGGCGCACAGCAATTTTGCGGGTTGATGCTTCGTTGTTTTAGAGTTGGTCTGCAGCCATGAGTACCGAGGGTCTGATGCGTTTGCTCAACAGCGAGCTGCCGTTGCTGCATGAGCAGTACAAGGCAGGAGACAAGCGGGTTGGCCTGGTCATCGTTGATGAAGTGAATGGGTTTGCCACCGTCGGCGCTGGGAACTCAGTGAGTGTGCATATCCTCCATGGTGCAGGAATTGATACCACTGTCTCAGCCATGCATGACGTCAACTGACCAATGGCTACTCAATCAAGGAAACAAAAGCTCTGTGTATGGAAAGCAAAGATGAGGACCATTCTAATCTATTCTTGTCAGTCCTGTTTCGTCCATTTCGCTAATTGCATACGAGTTGGGAGTCTCTCAGAATCTTTGCAAAAAGATGGAGTATGTGACAAGCACAATCCAAGAATCAAAACATCAGCTGCTAAGAGAAATAATACACAATGGAAAAGTTGTTGGAAGTTTGATGTAGACGATGGTCTTTCTGTCCAGTACAGCCCTGCGCCAAGTCCTCTTTATTTTGATAGTCCTAAAGCTTGCACACCGGTTTATTGAAAGGATCCCCAGCAACGGATAGTAAAGGTCAGCAGGTTCGACTTCTTGGACCATTTGATCTGTGCATAGTAGTGCCTTGAACAAATCAGAACTAGCATTACATTGAAAGCAGCATAAAGGGAGACCAGGCTGAAAAGATCAAAGGAGGTCCTGTCCTTGATCAGTTTTCCAAAAATGTTGCAAAGAGTCAAAGCGCCTCGAAGAAAGTTTGGGCTTTACGGAAACTAGTCTGCAACACCTGCCTGCAGTCAGCTCGCTCCTCTCAGCAAGCGGTCATCCTCAAACGGTCGTGGACCAGTGTCAACGGTCTCTGCGCTGAAGTTGGAGATACTTTTCTCAACGCTTTGATCGAGGCCTTCGCTCTTGCAACTGAAAGCCTTTGTTGTTAAAGTTTCTGATTCTGCAATGAAGCGCAGAGCCTGAACAGCCTCAATGTCATCACAGAATGCCCCCCATAAACTTAGACTCAGAAGAAAGGGAGTAGGAAAACACCCACAATATCAATCCGGATCTTACAATCAGAAAAAACCAAGTGCACTCCAGCTACAGTGGCAATTGTATCCTCGAAACTGGCGGTCATCTTCAACCCTTATCTTCCCTCATTCCCCAGGCACCCCTTCGCCCCAGCCAGCAGATTGACAGGATGATTGATGAAACAGACAGGCTAGCGCGGCAGTTCTTGGACCGGGGTTGGCCAGTCTTGGCGTTCATGGACCTGCACGAAATGGGGGTGTCAGAACCGCCCTGGTCAAAGCACTGCGAGCGGGGAAGCGGAGAGGAGGATTTTGTGCCGGTAGGTTTTGGTTTCTGTTTTCTGATCCATTGCCGGTCAAGTTTGGGTCAAACGCTGGTGGTTACAGACCTCGTGCCGTCGCTTGATGCTTTTTGACAAAGCTTTTCAAATGCTTCCTGCTATGTGAAAGGAGGAAAGCGACTCGAATCATCAGGATAAAGTGATGCACTTTTTGGCGGTGGCTTCGATAGCCGTCTCTTGTCAGTCGCAGTCAAGGGCTCAACGATGTCAACTTTAGGTCAGAGGCCAGTAGTGGTACTAAGGGTGTTGGATGTCGAGGATGCTGACGTCACCTGAGCAGTCACGAGATCACCATCGGGCACGACACCGAGCGGTCACCCCCGTGGCCTTCACGGCCCTGCAAACAGAACACACGTGTCGATTCGACTGGCGCGTTTCCAAACGCAGCGCTTTCTTTTGCAGATTACACAGCGCCGTAGCTCGCCCAGCTTTTGTTGGTAAGTCTTTCAAGTTTCAAGGGCGCGAAAGAATGGGACCAATACTGCCGTCTTTATGTGACACGGGGCCTCCAAGCAGCCCGAGACTGACATTGGATGGCTTTACTCGTGCAGAAACTGCGATGGCTGGACAACACCGAGAAATGCGTCAAGATCTACAAGGACTGCGCGGACGGTTTTGTGGGGGCGTTCCGAAAGGACCGGTCGAACGGGTTCGTGGACTGGGTTGCAGAGAACAAGGTTGAGCATGTGAGTTCCTGGAAGCTCTTTTCGGAATGTGCATTGATTTGCTTTTTGGGAAAGGCTTTGCGAAAATAATGGAGAAAATCGTGAGTACTTCGATTATGAAGGTTCGCACAGGTTAGCTGTTTGAGAAGCAACATGAGAACCTTCCGAACGTTCCTGGTGAAATTTCGGCCGTAATTGTTGCTTTCCCATCGCCGCTTTGTTCGTTGTCGTCGTCTGGCCACGTCGCAGCTTCCGCTCATTCCCCTTTCAGCAGGACGGTGTCATTGCCTTTCCCACTTACGAAAACTACAGCGAACTCTGACGTTTCCCGTTCCTTGCTACGCTGAAGCGGAACGAGATTCTGCGAGTCTCGTTCTCCTTCGCTTCTCTTCTTTGTCACTCAGTACGTCACGTTCTAGACAAATGAATATCAACCCCACATTCACGATGCTGTGTCTTCTGCTGTTGCTTCCTTGCTACGACGAAACAAGTAAAAGTATCTCTCAATTTGTTGGGCGGATGCTCTCGTTGTTTCTGTTGATCCTTCTTGTTCACGACAACTTCTTCCCCCTCCCACTTTCTTCCAGGAATTTTGCCCTTCGACGTGACACAATAAGTACGCCCAACAGAAACAGAAAATTTCTTCGAGGGCGTGCGGAAAGTTTCTCCCCAAGACGCTACATCCGCCGAAGGCGTCACGAGACGCCAAGTCACTCGATTCAGTCTCTCCTGCGCAGATTCTGGTGGTGGGCACGTGCACTGACGTCTGCGTGCTCGACTTTGTCGTCAGCGCCCTCTCCGCGCGTAACCACAAGATGATCCCCCCCCTCTCCGAGGTCTACGTCTACGCCGACGGCTGCGCCACTTCTGATATGCCCCTCGAAGAAGTCAAGAAGAACGGGAAGAGCCCGTACTCCGCACATCCGCAAGTGAGTGATAATGCTTTCAAGTTTTCCTTTTCGGTTGTCGTTTGCGTCCTCTCTATTGAGTTGCTGTTGTAGCTTCCGTTGTCGAAGCCAAATCCGACGGGGCACACTGATGCGCGGGTCGCACTGGGCTCCTTTTGACAAATGTATATCGTGTCCGTCACTTCTTCTAGATGCGTCCGAACGGAGTCTTCGGTGCACAACAAGCGCATCGTTGCTTAACAGCGGGCGCTCTCAACCAGCGTCTACGTACGAACATTGGTTTTTCCCAGTTTGCCGTGGGTCGCGAGGGCTATTGCCGTGAACCTTGCAATTGTCAGGCCCCGCGCTTTCAGGGTCGCCGTTCGCGTAGCTAGCAGTACTGCGGCAATAGCCCTATCTTTGACTCTTCTCCCTTTCGGAGAGAATATCCCTATTCCTTTAGCACGATTCAAAGAGAGTTTGTCTCTTCTGAAGGGGTTGGTGGCTGTTTGCCAGAACTCTCGTGCCCTATCTTTCGAAAGCAACTCCACTTCTTCCGGCAGCCATCGGCAAATCACAGAGGCCTTAGAGCCATGTATACCAGTCGCTTTTCCGAATATCTGCGGTTCGCTTTCTCACGCGCCTCTCTGTCCTGTTGCAGGGACCGACGCACTACATGGGGCTGTACATCATGTCTTACAGGGGAGCTCGTTTGGTCGATTCCGTCACAATATAGGTGTTTACAAAAGTAGCGGTAGTTTGGAGGTCAGGTTAACGGCATAAAAGATGGTTTGGAATGCATAGCTGCACGCGATTCGAAGTCCAAACCTGCTGCTGTTCGGTGCATATGTGTCGATATAAGAAAGCTGATGAATACGCACGCGAGAGTGACTTTGAAGGCGGCAACGTTCGCTAACCCTGCTAGAGGCGAGATATAGAAGCGGCCAGGCTTAAATTATTGATTGTAGGGGGTCTGCAATGGCCCTGCATATGATTGAACTTTAATCGGCTTAAAGTAGAGGGGGCATGGTCTTTGGCCCCGTGTGAGTGGAGCTTTTGAACGCAACCTATTTAATCAATGAGATCTTATGCATGACCGCTTTTCCGAATTTGCCTGCCAAAACTGTTCGTACATCCTGGGCTGCCAGCCAGAGCTAGTCCATGATATGGTTTGTCCTCTTTTCGATGCAGCCCGGCGGGTTGGATCGACGTGGACCGTCAGGATCAGTGACTCGAACCTCCTTTTGCGCCTCGTACAGCTAGGAAGCTGCCTGCTAGGCCCGTCCAAGTACTGCATGTATGAATTGTGACAATGTATATGCAGGTACGATTTTGATGCATCCGACGGCCGGAGCATTATTTGATGGTATAAACAGATCAAGCACATGCAACCTCGCTGGATAGTGTTACCGTGACGCCAACGCTGAAGTCGACCTTTCAACTAGCTCGTGTTGATGGACAAGGTTAAAGAATCCAACATGATGAATGTAAGTCTATTTGTGAATATCGGCGGCCCATGCAGTTTCACGCGTACGTCTAGTCGGATTTTGTCCTGTACTAATAATTAGCAGATTTCATTGGCACCCGTCTGAACGGCCATGGCGAATTCTGGCAGGCATGAACCATGCCCTCACCATGCAATGATCCGCACAGCACCTCGCGTGCAGCTCTAACCGATGTCTCTGCTTCAGACAATTGATTGAAACATCCTGATAGCAGATTAGCTAGCGGTAAAGTCCAAAACCACATACTTCCAGTTAGATGCGTATTGCCAGCGGCCAGCTTCAACAAAAGTTGGGACCTTGCTTTGGGGGCCGGGCCTGACGGTGGAAGTTTCTTTTCAAACGGCAGTCATACTAGACGTCAAACGGCTCGGTTCCCATGATATGCGCGTGCCGCCAAAACGCTCGAACCGTACTTGGGGCTAATTGGCTACTTTAGATGGACTGCACTGATCAACGATGGAGAGATACCCAGATGTTAAGTCCTTACGTAGGCTGCCTGGATTCCGTGGCAAAGTTACCCGTTTAGCGAAGCTTTCGGCTATTTGTCAGCACGACACGGAAGCGATCAAAGCGGAGCAGCCTACTACAGGATCTCAGCTGGCAGCTTCCAATGACTGTACCTAGTCCATTTTGGATTTCAATTTAGAGTATAAGAAAGACGTGGCTTGGAATGGCAAGCAGCTTGGAACACCTTGTAGGATTTGGGGGAAAATGGTCAGATTCGACTAGATTTAGCCCAAGCCGTCATCTTCTGGAATGCCAATGGCATCAGACTTTGTGAGATTTTGCCTCAGAATGCACCGAGTCGGCCATGAAAATAGACGTACAACTAAAGGGCATCAATCTCGCAGAAACCAGAACTCAGATCGTCTTAGTCGTTTCTCGATTCTTCTGAATTTTAGAAGCTAAAGGAGATCTGCAGCGAGACCTTCCGCAAACACCATTGTACAACTCCAAATAAGAGGGCTGCATGCCCTTACCTCTGCGCGAGCGCCCCGACCAGTCATTCTGTCCAGCCAAAGCCCTAGCCGAAGACGGAACGGTTTTTCATGAGACCTCGTCTCCTTCTCATCCCTGACGCGCGCCTGCAAAGATGGCGTGAGTCGACTCACGCATTTATAAATTTGTGCCCCTGCGTGAAATTGTAATGTGATGGGAAGAGAAGTGAAGAACGCTGGATAAGGTAGGGCACGTAATCAGAGAGGAACACCATTTGATGCAGTCAGAAGCTACTGAAAGCAAGAGACGACACCAAGAAGCGAAGACCAAGCGGGCAAATTACAGGACAAACATCGAGGAATCTGCATCGGGAACTGTCAGTGGGGTATGACCAGCACCCTCGAACTCACCTGGTTTTGCAAGCTCAGTGGTCCCGACCATTTTTTGTCGCCCCGATTGCTCCCAGCACTTTGAGAGCTACTCTGAAGGTCGACCGTGGCGTTTTGGAAAGTTTGCGCCTGCATGTAATCATGTTGTCTATGATGCAATCTTACCTGGACAATGAAGGGAGGGCTTGCAGACTGAGACAGGACCATGATTCACTACATGAGATTCCGGTGAGGGCTCTCAGTGGTCCATACAATTATCTTCGGAGGACAGTTGAAAGTGATTCTCAACTTCGAACACGAGAATAAGCAAGGTGGACCATAAAGCAATAGAGGCATAGCACGGGATGCAGGGGAACCCAGACTCAGATCTGCACGTATAGCGACAAATTGGTCAAAACGCACCTCATTACGTGAGAGCTGTGGCCTCGAGTCTTGCTTGCTGACCAGATGATGATCAAGGGACTTTGCAGAGCTCTCCTTTATGGAGTCTCGGAGGCTGAGCGCTGCAGGCGTTCCAGCACAAAAACACCGACTCAATTGACTTGATGTGGATCTGTAAAGCGCTATGAATCAAAAGCAGCAGAGTTTCCGTTCCTCCTTCAGCAGGGACTGAGTTAACATTGACTTGTCATGTTTGCTGTGCACAGACCATGAAAACATGCTTCAGCACAGGGAATTGCGATATCAATAGAAGCATCGGACCTCGGGTCCAATTTCTGAAAGCTTCAACTCACGTATCCATGTGGCGGAAATGTAGACAGTGCCGAGCACTCTATCCGTGTCTTCATGAAGCTCTTGATAGCTGTCCCCCCTCTCGTTGCTCCGAAATAGCTGGTACGTGTAATCGTCTCCAAGTCCAGGCATGCTGTCAAGCTTCGCAATCATCCCGTTGTAGCCCGTCCGCCATGCAACCACAAGCCCCCTGGGAGGTTTATCAGGGATATTCTGGGGAGGTCCTTCGAAGTAGAGGAGGCCGACAGAAAGGGGGCCGTTTTCCATCACTGCAGGAAACAATTCCAAAGGCTTTGTATTTTGGACGTGTCATAAGCAGTCAAACAGCTAGCATGATAAGACAGCTGATTTGTCAAAGTCGACGCAAGCAAGAGCAACTGATGAGGACCACCGGAACTCTGCATTTCAGAGGATCATGGAGCAGATGGACTGGCCTGCTGGAAGTGAAGCAAATAACTTAGACTTGTTTGGGGGACCAATTAGCAGCAAGACAGCCACGAGCTTGGCCCATCACAGATCTCCAACAAGATAGGATCCTCAATTTTGGAGCTCATTCTCTGTGCCTTGGGCAAGCCCAGCTCTCTTTCCGCCTTCATCAGTTCTGCGGGTAATTTGACAGGCACGTATTCAATTGAAGCAGGCTAACTTCCAAATAAAGGAACGGCTTTCTCCACCAATGAACATGGAGCTAAAGCAATACGGGGTTCAAAGCATCTTCGATGAATCTAGGTTACATACTATTGTGTCAAGACGAGTCACTGGATCCCTTAACGTTTCGAAGAAAGGCTATGTGATCAGTTAGGAATATGCTTATGGCTGACTGCTGAGGAGCACTTACCAGGGCACTGAGGAGTGGATGAAGTCCTTGCATATTGAATTTACCGAATACGAATTTGTATTTCCTTAAAAAGAACCGGCTACTAAAGACAAACTCTCAAGACAAACCGATGGTGGTTCTTGCAGTCGATGGCGTAAGTACAGTCTCTGAAACAGTAAGCAACACATGTCCTGGTCTCACCATTCCAGATTGCACGAGCCTGATCCACAACCGGGACCATGAACAAAACCATTACTCACCCGGGGATGTAAAGTTAGGAAGCACTCTCACAAAGAGCGGAAACTGGTTGGACGGAACTTGGAACGGATGCCTTCTGATTTGCAGGAGCCATTTTGACCGCTCGTGATCCCGGCCTAAGCAATGACATTTTCTGAGCCAAGGAATGCTCTTGAGCAGCTCTGGATACAGTATAGACCACTGTCCAGCGCAGGCTGCTTCGGGAACCCTCACGGAAAAGCTAGCATGAGCATTGGTTGGATCAACAACATCAAACCCATACGGCGCACAAACAGCAGAACTTCCCGCGACATTGTCATCCCTTCGACAAATCTGCGGAACTGCCGCGTTCTTACGCGCAACGCGCACACTTCCAAGGTTAAACACAGCGAAGTTGAAGACGAGCCGGTTGCACAGAAAATTGAAATGAGGTAAAAGATGCACAAGCTAAGCGAGCTGGTTGGCCAGATCAGACCAATTCAAAACGGCGCACCTGGGCGCACCCAGACTCAGAGTAGTCAAGGTGTACCCAAGTAGCCAGATACCCAAGTGTGCCCGCGGTCAGCTTCCTTGCCAAACCCCAAAACCCTTCGATCCGTATCAAACGACTCACCAATCAGCGCGGCCGCGCATGGATGGCTAGATCAGGGCGCGAAATGACGGACCTCAAAAATATCAATTTAACGATTATGTTGCAAGCAGAAAGCGCAATCCCGTCCACTTGTGATTTTGGCCACCGATTGACAGCCTAGCGCCTGTGCCGGGAGCCCTGAATATTTCTCCAGTATCCAGCCTTTGTAGTAAAGAGACGTCAACAGGCAGGGATGATCTTGTTATGTGCAGGATTGCAGATTGCAGATGTTTGAATACTCTAAAAAGTAAAGCGAGCAGCATATATACAGCAGCATACAGCTTCGTCTTTGTATGTACGGCACATATCGCTCCTCGATCCTCCATCCTCGACTTACCTGCGGACTTCAAGCAAGCGAGGATCATCAGCAACGCCTAGCTAGTATACCAGAGGCGTTTCGCTCGATAAGGCGTCGCAATGGTCCAGGATCTGTCAAGGTGCACAGGTTAGACGAACTGTTTCTTAAACGTTGCCTTTGTTTCCACTTGTAGGAGTTGCACTGCTCATAAGGTTGTTACCGTATTCCTGCCTGGTAGCGACGGTACTCCGAACAGGTTTCATATATGTAGCATACTGAGAGTGGATTTTTGAAGCCTGCAAAGAGCAAAGAATGCAATGGTATCGCGGGCTTAGTGGCGCCAAAGCACCTGCACATTATAGCCGCCAATACGGTTTGCCTTGAATATGAACGGATGGCTTCCGCATGCTGCCAAGGATCCCGCATCATTGCATGTATAAAGCACGCTTTTGGCATTAGACCTGAGTCCACCATCGCGCCGCAGCATTGGGATCTCATGCGACATACACATGCATGTGCGTGGATACTGCACAGCTATTTGGAAACTTGCGAGCGTTCCATACGGGACTGATGTAAGTGGAATGATATTCCATTCGCAGTGCAATATCATGAGATACTCTAGGTGGAATCTATGCAAATGAATTGTCACATGTGTGCACAATGATCTCCATATGGATCTGAAGAGCCTCAGGCTCATGTTAAGTTTGTAATGACCCCACGTTCCTCACGCGATTGCCGCCCACATTGAAGCGCCGACGGTCGATCGCAAATCATGTCAGAATCGGAATGCGTGGAAGGAGAACGTGGACCAACTCGCCCTTTTGGAACCCGCCCATTGCCAAGTTCTGATACCCGTTCGTGAGGTTCGGGGTCTTGATTCCTCTGTACTTCCGTACTGGTCAAAAAAAGCTTCACTGTACCCGGCTTCCTCGTAGGCACGTAGTGTGGTTCGAAGCATCGCACCGAGAAAGTCGCCCGGTCAGTCCCTCGTTGGTGAATTCTAATCCGCACGCAATCTCCAAGCCAGCTTGGCAAGAAAAATGGCGCACCAGCATTTTCATGATATTGCTGCTCGTCTTCGAGGATCCGTGTACTGACGGCATGAACAACGACCGTCAACCTCAGCCTATGTACAATCAATTCTGATTCAGGTAACCTTGCAGACTCTCAAACCGAACGTTGCTAAGAATTGCAAGTCACGTCCGCATGGCATTTCCCAACTCCTCATTCTGCTCCGCCTTGACGACCAGCAGCTCCTCCCGAGTCACCGGGGCTGCCGTTTCTAGCGCCAACGGGGCAACCTCGCCTAGCAGCCCGGCCCACGGAAGTGGCCGGGGCGACTTTTCGATCTGCCCGGTATTTCTTCCCCGGTGCAGCTCTTCCCGTATCCGGGTCTGCCACTGCTCGAGGGTACACTCGTCCTTGTAGTCGTGGACGACCCGGTTGGCGAAGTTAAGGAACGACCCGAGGCCCGTCTCCGGCTTGCGCCCGAACTCCTCCAGGACTCGCAGCTCGTCGGGAGGGATCCCCCTGATCCGCTACAAAGGGTAGGGAGGACACGTCTTACGAGGGGTCGAAGAAACGTGCTGAGTTGAAAGCCCTTTGCGCTTGGCATTCTGGGTCCAGATGCATTCGGGCTCGGTTTTCTTTCCACAGAGCTGCCTTCCTTCGCATATGGCTTCTGGATCTTGCCGCTGGTTTCTGCTTTTGAAGATTCAAACAAGCGTCCGCAGAAAAGCCGCCTGTTAATACAGTACCATTACGATGACGGCTCTCGAAGCTTAGGACCTTCAGCAAATGCAAGGAAAGGCGGGACCGTGATCATTACCCGGGCTAATCGGATCTGCTGAGAATGACCCTGATCAAGAAGACGAAACGGAAATCAGATGCAAAGTACTGCTGCTTCGGTACCCCGGCTTTGACCAGTTGACACGGCTTCGTATAGGCCTGTCTGTGAAAAACACAATCAATTCGTTCCTTGAGGGCCACTGAGAACCTTCTGCACGAATATCAATGTCCGCAATCGGTTGGAACCCAACATTTGCCGCCTCACCTCCAGCGGCCGATCATCGACGATGTCGTTCTTGGTCACCGTCCCGATCGCCATCACCGCGATCAGCCGCTGCAGCTGGAACTGCACATCCCCCGCCTCTAGATTGAAAAAGTACGTCGCATTTCCGTACTGGGGCCACTCCAGTACGAACCGGTTCTGCTCCTCAAACACGAACAGAAACGCGTGCAGTTTGTGGCACCACCCCCATTCGACCGGGCGCCCCCCGCGCCGCAGCCGCTTGGCCTCGTCGGTGAGGACCTTTAGAGCGCCCATGGAGTACTTGGGCAGGTGGGCTGCTCCGAGGTTCCCGGAAGAGGTCCAGGAGGCGCCGTTGCGCGAGGCGGAGCCGTCGTAGATCTGCGAGGAGGAGCGGGAGTGAAAAGCGGTCGTTGATGACGCAGAAGAGTTCCTTGCAAAACCATCAGCGGGCTTGGGAAAAACGAAAGAGAGGCTCTTTCGAACAAGCCGGAGCAAGCTTGTCTCGTAGTATGTGGGCTTCTTTGCGCCTCTTCTGATCAGATGGAAAGTGACCCTCTTTTCATGATGATCAAGTCCCTCCAAGATTCCATCGCCTTCAACATTCATTCAAGGCCTCATAAAGAGCAACGAAATGATCGGACTCATCAAAACACCCGCAACCCATTTAGAGCCCCTCAAAGTGATATCAAGTACTAGATGTGTAATACTTTAACAACATCGCACCAAAATATTATGCTCCCTTGTCGAGCGCCGCCTTGAATGCCCGCAAGCTCACAGGATTGTATCAAAACGAAACCTTAGAGTCCTTCAGAATGGTCCAAATCAACCCAAGCCAAAACTTCAGGGCTTCTGGCTTTTGAGGTCAACCAGATCAAGCCAGATCGCACCTAGATTAAGCACAGCCTGCAGAGCCCGGAAGCTCATCAGGGCTCCGATTAACCGAGACCTCGAAATACGGATTACATCCTCAAGTCTTTCCTTCTTACAGTAGTAAAGCAAATCGCTCAGATGTCACCTTGTTAAGCGCGGCCGGTAGGGCGGAAGCTCATCAAGGGACCGGATAAAAAGAGACCTCGGTTCACGCACCAAGACCTCAAGCTTCTACTTCTTACGAGAGTCCAGGAAACCGCTCGACTCTCACCTTGTTAAGCACGGCATGTAGTGCCCAAAATCTCGTCGTGTCTCAACGAACCCAGACCTCTTCTCAAGAATCGAGACCTCAAACTCCGCCTCTCAAAATGTTGATCGATCCAGCTCAAAACTCACCTTGTTAAGCACGGCCTGTAGCGCGCGAAAGCTCGCGCTTCCTGCCGCCTCCTCGTCTCCGTCAAAATCGTCCCCGTACAACTTCATGTCGTCCAGCATGCCCGCTTTGCTCAGCGATTCCAGCAGCTCAGGCGCGTCCTTCCGCAGGACTTCCACCGCCGTCCGCTTCTTTTTCTTGCCCGCCTCTAGTTGCTTTCCAGTTTGAGCAGACTCCCGAGCGGAGTTTGATAGGTCCTTTGCCGTTGGATGTGAGATCGACGGTCGGGGATTGGGGTATCGGCCAAGCGGGCCGAGTCCCGGGAAATCCGGGTTGCCGGTATTGTGATTAGAATTGGGCTCGCGGTTACTAAGTACTCCCACTCCCCTGAGTACCGATTCTGGTTCTGACCGACGCCCAGCTGCGAGCTCCGCCTTGACGTCGCTCACGATTTGCGCCGCTTCTTGCTGCCGCTCGCGCCCCCCCCTTTCCCTCTCCCCGTTAATCCACTCCCCTTCCCGTTGCTCACCTGAATGGCCCCAGAATTGGCCAGTCTGGCGGAACCCCTCCTTGGTATCCGTGCCCCGATCCAGACCCAGTGCAGAACCGGTTCCTCGCTGGACCACGATCCCGTCTTTCCGAAGAGCGCTTCTGAAGCTCAGCGGCATGTCCTCGTCCGACATCGACATATCCGCAAGACCATCGCCTTCCGGTTTGGGGGGCTCCGACTTAGCACCCAAGCCCACCCCCCGAACCACTTCGCCAACGCTCCTTGCTGCCGACCCGTCATCTACAGTTCCGCGCAACGCCCTCTCGTCATCACCACCCCATTGAGTGCCGGCTTCAGCACCCCCCCTTTCCTGCAAAATGTCCTCGTCTTCTATCTTAACCGCTGACAAGCCAGTGAATCCCCGGTACAGACCCAACGGCGAGGGGCTGCCGCTCTCCTCCCGTTCTTGCATCAGATTACTGACTACGCCCAAAAACGGCCTTCGACCTCGGGAATAGTCAGCCTCAGCTGCTCCGCTGACGTCAGCGCCGCGACTGCTGACGTCAGCGGGGCGGCCGGTGACGTCAGCCAGGGACTGAGCCTCGAAGAGAGGGGAGGCTTCCGCTGGTGAGGCGGCTGGATGGGTGGGGTGTTCCACGGGAAAGGGGGACGGTCTGAGTGAGGAAGTCGGAGCGGTGGTTGCGGCAGCATGCCGTTCCCTCGCCGTCGCTTTCTCCGTTTCGGCGAGTCGTGCCTGCAAAAGAATCGGCTCCACTTGTAGGACTGGTTTGTGAAAGGCCCTCACTAAGCGAAAGCCTGACCACTTCAGTGCAAACGTGCAGAAGGGCAAATTCTGCGAGAAAAGTGGCACTAACCATTGCGGTAAAGAGAGGCAAGCCTGAATCCGCTTGGCAGTTTCGGCATTTTCATGACTTGGTAAGCCTTTTGTATTTGATGTACAGCGGGCCAATCAGACCCCCGCACTGACCCGAATCGGGCACTTGCTCTAAGCTCAGACAGTGAAACAAGGTTTCGTCTAAGCCTACTTCAAAACACGAATACGAGCCTGAAGCGGTCGGCAAACCTACCACTCAGTGATAATCACAACCAGAGAGGCTTCTAGGTAACATGGGACGACAGATGGCTCTGGGACCGTGCGCTACCAAAGACTTCAAGCAACCCGCAGACGGGCAAAGAATTCTGCTTTACAAGAGAGTTTTATCAAAAACTCTCACTTCCCACATTTCTATCAGGACCAAGGGCATCGCACAAGGTCCCAATACAGCGAGCATGACGTCAGCAGAGCGCACTCACCAGCGCTTCCTCGCACAGCCGTCGCTTCTGGTCCAGCTCCATCGCCTGACGTCACAAAGGACCACGGCAGCTTAGCCAGCTTTCCAAAAGGGTAACTTCTGCATTTTGAGGTATCCAAACGCCTTGTTGGCTGGGTGCCTTCCCCAAGCTAACGAACAGCATCACAAGTAATGTACCTTTCTAGCTATCCATTCGGTAAAGTTCTGAAGAAAGCTTCGTCAATGTAAGTCTACTCCGCATAATCTGCCTCGAACGCGCTCTGCACGATGCGTGCAACGGAGGCTGCATTCCATCTCAACTCCAAAGTACCGCCCGAACTACGTCAAGCGCATTATTGCTTTACCTTCCGACAAACCTTCCGTCAAGCACAGTCGAAAATCTGATCAGCGGCTGGGAATCGCCCGCAGGAGCGGCACATCCACCCTCGGTCTTGCGATGTTCAAATGCGGGTAGATGACAGCTCGTTGCGAAGTCGGAAGATCTATTTTTTACAAAATGCGTTGAAGATTCTTCACCTCAGTTGCGAGCTCCTCTCTCCTCGTTTCGAGCTCCTGTTTGGCTCGTTCAATGGCCGCCCGTTCGTCTCGGGCCTCCCGTAGCTGCAAAAAGATAATCACTCAACTTCCAGCTTTAAATACGGTCTCGATTTCATGTTGACTAAGGGCCATGTTGACTATGGAGAATGCCCGGGGTACGGGTAGGGTTGGTTTGGGGGTTAGGGTGGGTACGGGTGCGGAGCGTGTCATTTGTCGGTTTTAGGTTGTTAGTTTTGTTCGTTCCCCCGATCACTATCCTTAGTCAACATGCTCTTAGTCAACATGAAATCGAGAAGAGGAGGTCGTCGAGATTAGAGGAAAGGTGCAAAAGTGTCAAGCCGTTTCACGGTATCGTTTTGCTGGCCAGAAGGGCTTATGTCATCTTGCTAGCCCGAAGCTCTCAATGTTGAACGATGCGTTCAGAAGTGCTGCCAAAGGTTGAAAAAACTCCCTCGCTCGGCTTTTTTCGCCCTATTCCTATCATACAAAACGGATGCTCAGAGAACGTCGTACAGTCATTGCATCATCCGGATCAATCGTCCTCCAAACATTCCCCACTGACAGCTTCACTCGTACCCTCACCGCCGCTGCGGCACTGCGCCGCTCCTCCACGGCCGCCTCGCAGATCTCCTCGGCCGCATGCTTGAGTTTTCTCGCCACCGCTAGTTGCTCCGCAGCGGTCTCCTGGGCCAGCTTCGACGCCGCGGTCTGCTGTCGCAGGTGGGCGCTTCGCTGGGCAGCGTCGGTATCCCGTTGGAGCAACACGCTGTGCAGAAGAGAAATGGTATCGAGTCTTATGAGTTGGAAAGAGTGTAATCTGCTAAAAGCAGAAGGAGTCTGTTCTGGGGTCCAAGCTGGTGAAGATGAGGTCCCGTTGCAGCAACCGTTGTGGCGAGATGCAGGAGAGAAATGGTATCGAGTCTTAAAGTGGGCGTCCGATTTCAAACCTCCGAAAATGCACACTCCGTGCATCCGAGACTTTTATGTACGGACCAGATTGCAACTTCGGCCAATCCGGGCCCCCACCACCGTAGATGGCCTTGGGGTGTCCATGCATGGCCTACGCCCTTCTGAAGAGTCGGGTAAGGTGTAATCTGATGAAACAGAAGGAGTCTGTTTTGGGGTCAAGCTGGTGAAAATGAGGTCTCTCTATTCCCCGAACGCGTTCCGGTCTCGTGTAGCGACATGCTGGAAACGGTATTAGGAGAAACAGATTCTAATGCGCGGAGATGTCACCCTTTTCAAGCAAGCTGGTAAACAACGGACAGAGAAGGTGAACTTTGTCCAGATCGCAAAACATGTCCCGTCGATGCAACAGGCTGGAGGAAGAGACAGAAATAAGTGCAGATCGAAATTTTGCTACGAGGCGTCTCTACTAAGTACAAGCTGGTGATGGAGGATGAAGGCAAAGAAAGAGATCAGCGCGTCTCTCATTGAAAGACGTCGCGTGCTGCGTGGTCCTTTGAGCAACACGCTGGCAACGCGCAAAGAAGACATGCTATAGTGGTGGAAGAAACGAGTACAAGTTACGAGGAGATGGACGCAAAAATATCATGGTGCCTGCATACCGATGGAATGAATCGCTAGTAACAGGCTGAAATAGAAGGTCAAGCTTAAATGGAAGTGTTTCGGGATTCAGAGCGCAGCATACAAGAAGAACGTGATGAAATCCTGCTTCCGTTCTCCCCGATTGTGTTGAGAACCACAGAAGCAAATTAAGACGCTCAGAAGCTTAAGCGGTCCTAATCGCAGAGACGACAAGTCGTGTGCATCTTGACATTGCGCGCGTCACAATCAACAACTCAGTAGGCTGACAAGAGTGGAAGCTCTGATCCAACAGTAAGCCCTCAGCTTTTGATTACAATCATCAAATTTCAGGGGGACGACGTCGCTTTCGACGGATGATAGAAGCAAAAACTGGTAGCAACGGACACATTCATCCTCGGGCCGAAAAGTGCTCAGCTCTCTACCTACCAGGACTTGCAGACTCGTAAACCGCTAGAAACAACCAGCTTTCGTAAAAAATCGGCTTCTGAGCTTCCGCATCTCGTTTGGCATCCATTACTGAATTCCGCATACAAGATCCGACTAGTGGGCCATCAACATGGCAATGACCTTAACCTGCAGAGTCCGACCATGTCGCTGAATCAGGAGCTTTCGAAAACGATGTTGAAAACATCCATACCTGTGCCATGTTTGCATCGACCGTTGCAGCGTCTCCCACAATTGCTGGCACTCCCGCGCTTGCATCGACCGATGTCCCGCTTGCCCGGGCCAGTTCACACCGTACTCTCCCACTGGCCCAGGGCCGTCCGTGAACGCATTCTCCCTGGGAACATCTGGTGGAAACCCAGGTTGAAACCCAGTGTGAAAAGCCCCTGGCATTTCGGAATTCCAGGGCCCTTGTGGGGGGTTTGGCACGAACCCCATGCCTGGGAGTGGGCCTGGTACGTCCCAACCGCTCTTTGACGGGGCCTTCTGAGGCGCAGCCACACCGGGTTGTGCGTTTCCACCTCCGGTTAACCCGTTTCCTAACCCTTGGTTAACGCTATGGTTTACCAATGGCTGAGGTGCTTTCCCCTCCCTTGGTCCCCGTGTTTCGTAAGGAAGCGGCCGCTCGGCGGCTTCCGGGGCCGACCTCGTGCTGACGTCAGCGGGCCCTCCAATCGCGTAGCTGGAACCAGTCCCGCCGTTGGCCCGATCTCTGGACAGGCGGTTCGTATCTCTTGGGGCTACGGGTTTTGTGGACTTCCCAACCTGAGGAGGTTTGGGGTTGACTATGGGTTTTACCGCAGGCTCCCCCATTTGGCCCCCATTTTTACCAACAGTCCCCCCCTTGCATCCCCCCAGAAGTGGGGGCTTTTTTTTGCCCCCAACGGGAGAACCCGTCTTCAGCTTACTAACGGAAGCCTTCGGCTGGCCGCTAACCAGCGTGGTAACCGCTTTGCAAACCACCGATGCCCGTTTACGCCTTTTCTTCTTCTTTGCCGTGCCCGCCTGCGTGTCATCGCCCTCCGACTTTCTCAGAGCTCCGTCGTTTTGTACGTGGCTACCCCTCATGCCTCCATTCGTCTGTCCTTCCACGGTTTGTCTTTGCAAACCCTTCCCCGCCTCCTGGGTCAATCCCCCCCCCTCTCCATTGCCCCTGCCGTTCTTCGCACTGAACTCAGAAGTTTGACGCAGGCTAGCTGTGATTGGAAGAGTCCTGCTGGATTGGGCTGCAACACTCACTGGAGGCGGCCGCTGAAGAGTGCGGGAGCTTGGCCCCGCGTCTAGTTCCTCATTGACCCTATTCTTACCTACAACTACCGGGTTCTCCTTCCGTGCCTCAGAAAGGATGGCTTCCAAACCGGGCGCGGTCTTTCTCTTGGTCAGCCAGGCTTGAAGGGGGTTTTGCTGGGGCTCCTCTGCCTCGTTCGGCCGGTGCCTCTTCTGAGACACTGGGAGGTGAACTTCAAAGCGCCTCTTGACCTGCAACATAGAATCGAAGGGTTTGGAGAGATTAGGAAAGATTGCAACGAGGTCCATCAGCAAGGAGGAAGGCCAATCACCCCGTTCGCAGAACCTTGAGGTATAAACGGATTGGAGAAATTGAAACGTGACCTCAACACAAGAATCAGAGATGCTTTTGAGCAGCATTGCTCTCCACAAGTTGCTGAGAAGTCGTTTACCTTCAGTCACAATATTTTACCCATTCAGTACTTAGTCCCTGAAGTCCTTGAAGTCCCAACATAGTTGGCAGCACCAAACAAGCAAGAATCTTTTCAGAGGCTGCAACATGCTCTCAGCACTGAATAAGCAGACGGAAAGAGAGACAGCTAGACCGGGTGAAATGAGAAGACCCAACCCACAACAGTCTTCACCTTGAAAGCCCCCAAGCATTGTGGCAATGCAGTTTGGGATTGGGGGTAAAAATGGAAAGTAACATTCTGTAACATGTAGGCTTCAAAGATGGCAACTTCGCAAGCAACTGAGACCTTCCTTGATGACTTACCTGAGCACCTGGTTTGTGCGCCATCTGCATCAATCCTGATAGTACACGCCCTTACAAGTTACATCGTGAGCATCTCTTCATGCTACCACTTCTCCTGCAGTTGAGATGTGGTAAACCAAATGTGGCATGGAGCTGACAGTGGCAGACAGGGCATATCCTGCCTCTGAGTCTGTGCCGGATGTGTGTCCAGGGTCTTCTCGTGTTCATTCACTCTGCAAAATGTGTGCCAGAGGATCGAGATGGTGCTGCTCCACCGCAAACCATGCAGGTAACCGCACCTATGTATGTAAAAGTCCTGCCTATGATGCCTGGTTCGTGCCTCCGACTACAGCTTGCACAGAAAAACCAACAATTTGAGCCCGGAATAAGGTCCCCGGCTTTGAAATCTCCCCCCGAGGACGATAACCCGCCACACAAACCAGTTTAGGGTTTTCAGCTTGAAAGTCAGAGCCAGAGCTGGAGGCTGACTCAGGGTCAAGCAGAAAGGTCAGAGCTGCTGAACGCAGTGCTCAATTGCGCTGCGTGGTCACTTGTCTGATTCAGGGGAGGAAGTCCGAGGAACTGCACGACAAAATGGAGGCACAAGATGCTGAGAAGCTTGCCCTGTTTCAGCACGTCCTCCTGTGCCTGGATCGGCCTTCTGTAGATGCTGATGCCGCTGAGGATGATAATTCCCGTGCTTTTGTCAGCGCTATGCATGCAGATGGACAGCGGAGCGTGCTTTCAACAGATGAACTGAGCGGCAGAATGAAAGCTATCTCATCAAGCGCGCAGGGTTTTGATTCCCCGCCCAGTTGGCAGGGGCGCTTTGCGAGCCTGTCGATGGCGACTCCCTTTGAGGAAGGGGACGCTGATATGCTGGGGCGGCAGTTTAGTCAGACCGCCGATAGGCTCGCTGCCCCCCCCTTGGTGGAACAGCTGTCTTGGGGGGCTTTCCGAGGCAGAGGAAGTGCGGGGGGCAGATCTAGCGAGCTCGCCAGCGATCTGCACAAAGGAAAGGGTGGTGCACACAATTGGGGGGGTGTGATTGGTTGTTCAAATTGCACGGGGTTTGGTAATGGTGAATCGAAATTAGGGTTCTTGACGGGCAGGTTAGCGGTTAAAACCGGTGTTCCACATCGAAAAAGGGAAGATCAGCTGCTGAGTGAAGAGAGCTCAAGCGAACGGCGATCAAAGGCACAGCTAGCGTCGATGTCCATACAGGAAGCGAAGGGGTCGGAAGAGAGCCTGGATCTGAGAAGGGGAGCGTCTCTAGTTCGGCGCTGCAAAGCCGTAGCGGCGAGATTAGATCAGGCCTGGAGAAGATCAGAACGGCGATCAGATGATCAGCCTCTGAGCCAATTTGTTACAGAGGGGTTAAGTAGCTCGGAAGCGGAGAGTCCTAGGCCTGTCGATAGGAGAGACGACTTGTCTGGCAGATCCAGCGATGGAATAGCGAGGCAAACTAGCAGTAGTGACATCAGCAGTAGTGGTGGTGACTGGGGAGACTTCAGGACCTCGAGTGCCGGCGTCAACGGCCCCACTTCTCTGCAGAGGGGCTTTCAGCGGTTGGAGCTGCTTCCGGTCTGGGAAAACGACGGCAGTAGAAGAAAGCAGTATGCCTGGGATGGCCGGCAGATTGTGGCCGTTGATCCGCCAGACGAGGACGAGATCAACGGCCGAGCTGGAGACCCCCTGAAGCAGGCCTGGAAGGGGCTTGAGAGCTTCCTGAAGCGGGCTTTCATCCCGGAGGTAAGCTTCGAAGTGATCATGATTTTTACGGATGCCAGTGAACGAGGTTTTGGCTTTGTTGAGTTCGTCCCAAGGACTCCAATTTTGGCTGCTCAATCCAAGTGAATCCGCCACCTAGTCTGGCTGCTTAGGACTAGTATTAGTATCAGATTATTACAGAATTGACGTACATGTCTGTTTTCCAATGAGTTGCATTAAATGACAATCTGCGCACAAATGGGCACGTCTCCTGCCTGTCAGGACTGATAGAGCTGGCCGTCATCCATGTCCTCGAATTGACCTTTCTTCTTCCTGTAACGGATCATGCGTCCTCATTTGCTCACGTCCCTAGTCTTATTGAACGCCCCCTTCCCTAGCCCAACTCACACAGGGAAGGTCGCCTCTTGTAATCATCCCCATCTCTTCTGCAGGACGTGACGGCGGACTATTGGCCCTACGCGCGCTGGAAATGCACGCAGCGAATGGTCAGCTCCGTTGCGCATGCCAATGGGACGCAGTCTCTCCTGCGTGCGGTGGGAGTCGGCGGACGGCGCTCGATCCCGGGGGTTGCGGCCCTAAACTGGGTGCTCAAGGACGGATTGGGGCGGCTCGGAAAGCTGGGGTATGCGGCTGGTTATGGGCGCACGTTCGATTCGGATCTCAAGGTAAGGCTTGCGAACATCGATGCTTACTGACGACAGTCTGTCCATTTTCCATCTTCCTCTTTCTGTTTCGTTGTTTATTGGTTTCAATGCTGAACGATAGTTTTCTATCGGCTCCAGAAAGCTAGTCCAAGCGGCAAGTGGTGAGCGCACCTTCCGGATTGACATTAAGGTAGGGCTATCAGGCTCGTTTGGACTTTACTAGGTTTGCACGACAGGCCAACACCCTCACAAGGTGGTCAACGCAGCATAAGACAGTCAACGCTTAATCTGCATTCCAGATTAGGACGTAGCTCTTTCAGTGGCCCGCTTTTGCATATTCTATCTGTAGACCGCTCTTACCTGAGCTCTATTTGTTCGTGATTGTGAGTGAGAAACGGCTCAAATAGCTTGTGATTACAAGTAGCATTTGTCAGAGTTTGTCTTTGACCCTCAAAACAGTCGCCTTTGTCTACGTCCAACCCGCAACAGATGTGCTTCCTCAATGCGGAGCCAGTGTTGCATCGAAAGATGGTGTTTACTTTCGTTTCGTGTACTTTACATCCGTGCAAGTTACTCCCTCATTCGGTTAGCTCTAAGAGGTTCCATCTTTACTCCCCCGCAGCGGATCGCGGCCATCTCCAAGTTCAGCATCGGGCTTGAGTGGTCACCCCGCCCTTATCTTCGTCACGCCAAAGGCCCACTTTCGAGAGCTTTTGTACTCCTGCATCTCTCAAACTAACGGTCACGAGTTGTGTCTTCTCTACTTCCCGGCAGCGAATGCGCCACTCGACCGCGGCCATCTTCCTGTTCAGCGTGAGGCTCAAGATGGTCACCCTTTTCCGGTCTCTTTTGCGAACGCCCTCGAAAGCTCACTCTTATGGTCGTTTGCTTTCAGTCGGTTTCGTTTACGTCGAATCAAGATCGACGTTCTTTTCTCTTCCTTCCAACAGCGGATGCCCTACCTAACGGCCGCCAGCTACGGTCAGCATCGTGCTCGAGCCGGCCACCCCGCTCGTCCATTCGTGCCCTCCCGGAAGATCAGCATTTCTGCGTCTTTCAAAGTAATTGAATGTGAATTGTCTTCACCCCCCCTGCAGCGGATGCGCTACCTGACCGCGGCCATCTTCACGCTCAGCGTGGGGCTCGAGATGGTCACCCCGCTCTTCCCGCAGTACTTTCTGCCGATTGCGACGCTTGCGAACGTGGGCAAATCGATCGGGCTCACGACCTACGTCTCCACAAGCCCCAGCATCCACAAGAGCTTTGCCTTGGGGGAAAACCTCGCAGACATTTCCGCCAAGGGTCAGGTGAGACGAAAGGTTTTCCTCCTTGTATTCCGTTTCGTTCTGTTTGTCTTCGTTCTGTGCGTCGTCTCCACGAGCCCCAGCATCTACAAAAGCGTTGCTCTGGGGGAAAACCTCGCACACATCTCCGCCAAGGGTCAGGTGAGAGAAAAAGGTTTTTGGTTTGTGTTCCGTTCCGTTCCGTTTGTTCCCGTTCCGTCCAATCTTCCGCGCGGCGTCTCCTCGAGCCCTAGCACCAAGAGCTTTGCGCTGGGGGAGAACCTCGCAGACACCTCGGCCGAGGGCCAGTGAGGGAACGGCTGTTCCGTTGCATTCGTCTGTTCCGTTCAATTTGGTTCCGCTCTGTTCGATGTTTTGCACGTCGTCTCCACGAGCCCCAGCATTCACAAAAGCCTCGCACTGGGGGACAACCTCGCAGACATCTCCGCCAAAGGCCAGGTGAGACCAACGGCTGTTTCGTTCGATTGGTTCCTTCCTGTTCAAAGTTTCAGTCGTCGTCTCTACGAGCCTCAGCATCCGCAAGAGCTTTGCGCTGGTGGAAAACTTTGTAGACATCTCGGTCAAGGGCCTGGCGAGAAAAAGGGAACGGAGAGCACAAGCTGACTCAAGAGCGTCGCTTTGGAGGAAACCTCGCAGACATTGTTGCCAGGGGTTAGGTGAGATAGCGGCCGTTTTACGTTCCTTTCTGTTCTGTTCCGTTCGGTTCAATATCCCGTGCTCGAGGCAAAAAGTGTTGCTGCACTTTGCCAGCTGACCCAGGCTGAAAGGCCTGGAGTCATTCTGACACACGGCTTCATCGGATCGGAGTTCAAAGAGCGGTCGACGAAGTTGTTCTCGAGGGCAAACGCAGGCCTCAGGGTCTTACCGCGGTGGTTGCGGCCAGGAAAATTTTTCAACAGAGTAGAGTAAGAAAAGAAAAACTGAACAAAGGAAAGGTTTTTCTGCGTTCGATCTGAAGCTTGAAAGAAAGGACTGCGCGCCAGCTGCCGCTGATAGTGTAGGGTCCCTTTGCCACGTTACAATGGACGGACGGGCACTTCAGCGTCGTCGGGCCGTATTGCGACCGGACTGCTTCACGAGCACTGCCTCGATCTCTTACGTTTTTTCCCTCAGTTTACAAGGGGACTATACTCAAGACGAGGGGTCTGGACTGAGAGTTGGCCTCTTTGCAATCTGTTTGTCGACTTGCGTACAAAATATCGTGCCGAATCGAAGCAAGAACCGTTCGCATATCTTTTTGTGCAGGCTCAAACGGTGGTTGCCGACAACATCGGGCTTGCCATCGCTGTCGGGCTGAGCTCGGCGTGCGGGCAGAACGAGAAGATGCGGTCGCTCATCCCGCTGGTCACGTTCCCCGTCATTGCTGCCATGGACCTGTTCGCCATCCGGCAGGAGCTCAAGTCAGTGCACCTGCGCACGCTCAATAAGGTACGTGAACTTTGATGGGATCTGTTTCAAATTCCGATAAAAGAGACATTCTTTTCAATCGTTTCCAGAATTTGGTATCGTCAAATGACTCATTTTCCAGTCTTGTGGGTTCCTGTACGTAGCGCTCTTCTGTCTCTCACCCAGTCCCCCTCTTCGTTGTCCTTCCTCTCTTTTCCGCTCCCTTTCCATCTCTCTTTATTTGTTGTGTGATTGCTTCCTTCCTTGAAGGTTGTGTCGGACTCGATTCAGACGGCTTTCTTTGCTGCAGACTTTGACTGTCCGATTCTGCCTTTTGACGAAGTTGATTTTTTCTCTCGTCTCAGGAGCGCACAGAGATCATCGTGGACCACTGGCTGCGCACGGGAAGCGTCCCCGACCAGAAGCAAGTCAGCGACGCCGAAAACCTGCTCCTGCCGACGCCTATCCATAACGGCGCACTCCCCCTGCGCATCCTCCCCCTGCGGAAAGCGGCCGCGAGCGTTGAGGGGCTGGGGGAGTTGCTGGAGCGGCATCGAAGTCAGAAGTACTTGATACAGCCCCGGAGAAAGGGGCGGGGACGGCTGCCGTTCACCCACAGAAAGGTGAGTATGTTTGCGACTTAGTGCGGCACGTTGTGGCGTGGATAGGACGACGAGATCGAAGGGATCTTGCTTACATTCTCGTTCGACCTCAGTGGTTCTAATAGATTCTTGGAACGGTGGAACAAATAAAGCATTCCCCGTTCAGACCCTTCAATATGGAAAATTTCCGGGGCTGTTAGTCTTTCTGATTGGTTTTCTGAGCTTTCTCATTCATGATATGTGTGGGTTCAGCATCCCAACCGACACGATCAGTGGACAAGCGAAAAGAAGCAGAGAAGTGGCGCTTGAAAAGAGAGCAACCTCCTGGTATGCTCAGGCTGTGCGTGGTCGAAGGCAGTCAACCGCTTAGCATCTAGACCTCGTTCCTTGCCGTTTTATTGAAATCGGCCTGATGCGAAGATTTATTGGACCAGTAAGACTTTTGAAATCAAGGCTAGAGCTGACTCTCTGTTGTTGTTACGTGCAGCCCGACATTGTCCTGTCCCTCCGTGAGGACGCGGAAGCCACCGACGTCATCACTGGGGTCCTCCAGGCGTGCCATTACCGGTCGCTCATGGCCGAGGAGGCAAGCGGGTCTGGGCGGCCGGTGGAAAGCACCAGCCAAAAGCAAAATGTATTACTAGGAAACAACCCGCACAAGAGGAAAGGAAGTATACATGCAAGCGCAGCTGGTCAGGAAGTTGAGACGAGCATGCAGGTCGAGTGCGAGTCGGACGCATTGAGAGAGAGCCGGCGGCGGGCCGAGCGCGACGTAGAACGATTGTTGCAAGAGCTCGAAGATAAGCAATGGCAGTGGGGTCGGATTATCTTGGCCTCTGGAGAAAGGGGTACATATAGCGTGACCGACAAAAGACCGGCAAGGGTGTTGAGCCGCAAGGTGCCTAGATGAGTCGTCGAAGAAGGGAACGGCTCTCCATCTTGGCTCAGCGTTGATGTACATTTAAAATTTGATTGGCACCTCGATGGTCAGGTTGATGCCCTGCTTCATTGTCAATTAGTATGATCGACCATCTTAACAACAGTGTGCATAGGTAATGCTAGCTTAGTGCATCCGGCATGCAATCGTCGCTCAGCTAGTCGACGTGGCTGACTTTCTATATCATACCTTGTCATGCAAAGTTGTACGAACTGCATGCGGCTGCTTATGTGATGACGCTTGGATTCTCATTGCATGTAAGTTCGCCAGGATCTTAGTACAGCGGGATTGCCGCCTCAAAGTCTCACTCGCCCTCTTTTTGCGAGTGGTTCTAAAACGAACTGGGGCCTTCTGCCGGCTAGCTACACGACATCGAGGCTGTGCATCGCGTAACAACTGTTTTGGACCATGCACATGCACTGTATATGTAGCACACTGTCACATGACTCTGACTAGTAGTATTATTATCATATGTATGCGCCGCTAAAGCGGACAATTGCTTTTCTACGCTGGATATATACAATTGGCACCTACCTACCGTATATTGGCTTGGGGAGACATAGGGTTCGCCGATTTCGGCACTGTACGACGCCGCGACGCGGCCCTGGCAATCGAGGTTCTTCGACCTTGCTCGAATGCCCGACGTTCGACGATAAAACGTACAGGAAAATGGAGAAAAGTTCCCATATAACGTTTCAGACTTATGGTAGACTGGCGCGCGGAGCGGCGCGGTTGCTGGATTCGGCGGGGGTCACGCAATAACGCAATGCCGCGGAATTCACTATGCCGTCGAATTCCGTGGGGGCACTGCCAAGTCTTCTCGGACCGTCGATGGCACACTTGGTGTGCGGACAGCCACCTCATAGGCTATGGAGCCATCCAGCCGCCTATATCAGGGTCAAGTATCTGCCGGACCCTCCCGTTTGTCAAACGCTCGGCAATGGTCCTTTGCTTGTCGTAGGGGCTCAGGCCATGCCGTTACCAAGTAGTCACAGCCCGTTCCCATTCAGGAAGTCGGAAGTTCCAGCTCACTCTCTTTCCTGGCTCTTTTTCTGAGCGCGTAGCGGCTTCCCTATAGGTTTAGGCCTCCTGTTGTGGGCTGACAGAGCTAAGAGCGGGCGGGCTGCAGGGCAGGTTGGTGTGGCTCACCGTTTTCAGGTTGGCCGGCAATTGATATGAACAGGAGGGAGGCATTTTGTTGGGCTGCTGTGTTGGCGCATCCCTGAGGTGCTCCTGAGAATGTTGTAGAAGAGGTAAGTTGCTCCCTGGTTGCCTCTAGATGCTCTTGTACTTTAGAATAGTGTGTCAGGCATAGATTGGCTCTGCCGCTTCTGTCTGATCTAAGAAGACGTAAGTCTGTGGAATCGGGTGGCCCTTGCCACAATCTTCAGCATTTGGAAAAGGCGCGCAGCGCTATCAAGACCCTCTGAGAGCTCTAGAAACCATCATAAGCGTGGCGCTGGTTATGCCAAAACTGCATGCTGTTTTTATAGTTATCAGGTCACTTTTGCTCTTGGCCTGTTATGAGCAGCCTTCAAAGGCATCAGGATGACACAGCATATGGAAGTTGCCAAGTACGCAACTGAGCAATCTAGTTGTGATTTTAGGGGTTGTTCCTCTTATTCTTCATGAGTGCGCGCTGAAGGGAAACAACCCCTGATTCTTCATGAGTGCGCACTGATGGAGTTGCATACGCAGTGGAATTGCAAATGCATCAGAAGTGGTGCCTGCGAATGTTCGTTGAGAGAAACTAGTGATTCACTCTTTAGTTACCTACCTCTTGACCTTGCAGGTGCCGGAAAGCTGGTTCTTGAATTTTGTCATCATGGCAAGAGGCCGGCCTCATGGCCGGTCCAAGTCTGATCACCGGGTGTGTCAGGCAGCTCGGTACGAGCAAGCTGCTGAGTACAGGGAGCGGATTAGCATCAGCGCTGAGCAGCAGGAGGCGCGCATTGCTGCTGTGAACGCTGAGTGCGATGTTCAAGATGCCCCTCAGAAACGAAGAAGCCAGAAGTCCAGTGGTCGGAAGAAAGAGGCATGGACTGCTTGTGGGTCAGCACAGCGCGGGTCTTGCAAAGCGTCTGGAAGTGGAAAGAAGAAAGCAAATGAGCGCCTTGGGAAAACGCTTGGCAAAGCCGCAGAAAGAGGTGAGTTCTGGTGCATGTGCTTCTAGGTGGAGTGTTTTGACTTGTCAAGCAGGGGCCAGGCAGAAGCTGGGACGCGGTGCGCTGCAACTTTAGCGTCCATCAGAAAAGTGAAGGGTGCGCCTGCAGTGATGTACCAAGAAGAGCGTCTTTTCTGTGATGGGTGGGGTGTACCAGAACAGCCTTTTTCTCTTTAGAGTATAAAAGCCTGATTATTGGTACGTGCTGTCAAGTACAAAGTCCTTGAGGAGTCTTAGCGGGTATGGCCGTCCTTGCGGGGTACCAAGATCAGCCTCTTTCTCTTTAGAGTATAAAAGGCCAATTCTTGGTACATGTTGGCAATCACAAACCTCCAACCCACTGCGAAAGAGACATGACTGCAAAAGCAGGTGCACGCACTAAGTCTTGCTTGCATCTCCAAGTTTGAGTCCAGGTGCAATACCCAACCTATGCACTTCTTCATTGCAGACTTGCACAGTCTTCACTGCCAAGCTTGTGGCGCCATTGCAGAGTTTGGGCTGAGGGGAGGCAAGGAGGGGGGCAGCGTCAAGTACACGTGCAGAGCGCACGCCACGTCATGTGGTTGCTTTCGAGTCGACCGAGACCGCGCAGGTGAGAGCATTTGGGGAGCCTGCTATTGACATGGTCTAAATCTCATGCAACGCTCATAGCTGCTCTCCCATTGGTCAGCGATGAGCCTTTAGAAAGACTGTCGAGAAATTTACCTGCTCTGCATGCTCCTGCAGCATGGGCAGAGGACCGAGAGATGCGCCGCCTGAGAGCACAGGAGAGGACATTGGAAGCAGAGCTGCGGGGACTTGGAGGGGCCTCGTTCACTGCAAAACCGACATCAAGTGAGTGTTTGGCGCAATCTGACTCAACTGGTTGGTTGTTCTCTTGTACACAAATCAAGGGCAGCAAGTCCCCGGTAATGCCGCTAATGCGTTATGGCTCCTTCTGCTGGCATGGACACACGACTCAATAGTGACTGCAAGAAAAATTCTACTGTTTCCGCCTGCAGCTTGGAAAGGATTCCAGAGGAAGGGGGTTTGGGCTTCGACACCCATGAGCCAGTCGCTCATAGGTAAGGCATTGCAATAGCAGCTTTGGATCTGCAGTCCGCTTGTGAAGCAGGTGGCCTTCCTTTGAACATGCAAACATGTGTAAAGCACTTGGGCTTCTACGATGTATCTGATATGTCTTGTTTGGAAACTGCTGATTGCTGTTGGACGAGGCCAGCGCGGCGCACATGTAGCATCTGAACGTGGCGTCCTCCCATGCAGCGACGCTCCTCATGATTGGCGGAGTCGAACGCAACCCGGGACCTACTGCAGAGGAGGTGAGCCTGGACAGGGGAAATCCTGCAGTTGAGGACTCGAGCATCAGGCAGCAACTTCGTGTCTCTTCACAGTGTCCATGCTATCAAAGAGCGGGCTGCTCATTGTTGTGCTGATCTTCAATGTCTTCCTACCACAGATTGCACAAGGTTGGCGGGAAGCTTTTCCGGAAAAGAAGATTAGTACCGCGCTGCTGGACCACCTAATGCGGAAGGAAGTCGACGTGGCAGACTGGAAAGCAACGGATCGTGAAGACCGGAAGGAGTTTCTGACCCAATGGAGAGCCGAGTACGAAGGCCCAGGGGAGTGGGTAGATGGCTGGAGTGTCTTCCTCAGAGCAGTTCCAAGTAAGCAATTCCCTCTGTAAGATTTAGTATGCTAGCTACTGGGGAGCCTGTTTGACCAGCAAAATCAGAGGTTGTGGTAAATGAGACTTGAGCTGTATATTACTGTGCTTTAGCATGTAGCGGCGGGGAAGCTTGGAGAAGATGGCATGACAGGGGACTTCTGCTGATTGGCAGGTGTTGCCAGGTGATATAGTCGCTTCTTTGTCGATCTTGTTAAGGACATTAGTGCATGGCAGACATGGGGTGTGTCCTAGCAGAAGCTGTGTTGCTCTTAACTAGAAAGTGGTTTGCTGTGCAGACCAGGTGCAACTCATGAGCACTAGGGTGCTTGTCAGCCGTCACCCTCATGCAATCTTTCAAAGGCTAGGGTCTCCACAGTTGGACTTCACTTTTGCTTGCTGCCTCAAGAGCGTATGGACACGAGACCCAGATCTGCTTATCTTTCTGCTGCGCAGTTGTCAAGAGGAGTCAGGATGCACATGCGGGCCACTCTAGGGATATGGAGCGGCAGGATGCTGATAAGGGGAACCAGACTCGTGAGTTCTGCCGCTCATCTTCTGTGCTCTTGCGTTACGGTATACTTGTTTCTGCAGAGTGCTTCTTGAGGTTGCTTTGCCGCTTGCGCTTGCCGCCTTACTTTCTTGTGCACGATCGACAATTCAAAATAGGTCTAGCAACCCAGCACCATTCCAAGTACCTGGCTCTTGTCTCTCTTCTGGGGTTTCTGCTGATGTGGCTGCCTTTTGCTATTGTCTGGTATCGACTCTGCCCACAAGCCGCTCTTCTGACAAGCAATGCCTGCATTGTGGCTAAGTCTGAACACGTGCCTCATAGAGTCTGCGATCTGTGGGCTGCTTGTTGCATCGAGTGTTTCCTTGAGGTGATACACATGGTTTAAACCTATCTTCCAAAGCATGCACCTACAGGGAAGTCTGAATAGTATGCTGTTTCCAGACAAGCTCGACCTGACCAAAGGCTTGGTGCTCTGCAGGGGATCCATCCAGCCACGCTAAACCCAGCTTGAAACGTTCCACGTGCCTTGCCACATCAGACATTGGGGTTCTTGCGAAGGGTCTGGTGAAAAGAAGGAAATTGGAACTTGAGCAAGCAGGAGAAGCGGAAAAGGACGTCTTCGAGATTGGCTGGAGCATCCTGCCGCAGGCAAAACCTTTGGGTGTAAGGGATTTGCGTTTTCTAGTGCTGAAGGCAGAGCAGAAACTCGGAGTTGCGGTGATGGGGCGCTCCCATTTCAGGGGTTTGGTAGATCGTGCGATCAAGCTTATGGAGGGGAAGCTGCCGGGCGGTGGGCGGAGGATCCTCATGCACGGGCCTGCAGGGTTTGGCAAAACACACCTCCTCCTGCAACTTATCATCTACCTCACAGCAGCGTTGGAAACAAAGCAGCAGCGGGTGGCGCCCCTCCTGGACTGTGCCTTCTTTAAGGCGGATAGAGTTGAGGCGATGAAGCAGGCCCTTGCATGGGCATATTCTGGGGAAGAGAATACTGTTGAAACCATCGCAAACCTCGAATCGATGCGAGACGTGAAGGGATTTCTCAGCGGGAGGGAGGAGGAGATTCTCTTCTGCTTGGATCAGTACCAGGAGCTCGAAAGAGAATCGGAGGCCAAACAGGAGTTAGATGCCCGGCTTTACCATTTCAGGACAATAGTGGTGACGAGCGCAGGGGGTGAGGAGCTCACAACAGAAAACGAGACACTACATGCCCAGGCGAGCATGTTCCCGGTGCACTCTGGTTTGAGTCAGGTATGCAGTCAAGATCTTTGATATCCTTTCGAATGCGCTCTGATTTAGTTGATGTATCTCCTGAACCGCTCTCTCTACGTTCAAACTCAAGATGAGTCTGGGCATTTAGACCTTGTTTTCTTCAAGTAAGGATTGTGCTTTCCTTGACTAAGTAGATGTTTAGGTGTATACACCTGCATGAGTGCGCAGAGGGGCCTCTTTAGTGTCCACGTTTGTTCTGGTGGAGGAGGAGTCTTGCTTGAGTGGTTATCAGAAAATGCTGCCAGTTGTCTCATGGCTAGATTGAGTAACAGCCTCAGTCCCTAAGCTTCTCCTAACGAGCTCTTCGAGGTCAGGGTCAGGGATGCGGTACCTCCATCAGATTAGGGCAGGCTTAGATTTTTCCCCTTAAAAACTTCTAATCGGACGTGGCCCCGTGCAGGAGGAGCAGAAGTCCTATGATGTCATCTACGGGACAGAGTGCACCACCCCGGCTGTCCAACGCCTTGTGATGGAGAAGTTGGGGGGAGTAGCAGGGTGCCTGGCGGACTGGTATGAGGCCTATTACGGAGAGCCTCCAACGGACTACTCAGTGTATCGAGTCTTTGGGCAGAGTCCAGCGTTTCAAGTGGGGCCATTGGAACCGTTGAAGGAAGAAGAGCCAGGTACGAGTGCGCTGGGGGGGAAGAGCAAGCATGTGGCTGAGAGTGAGCGGACAGGAAAGATGGAGCTTGCCGAAGAGCGTGACTGGAAAGCCTGGGAGAAATTCCTGGAGTGCAAGCGGGTGGTGCAGATCACCTTGAGTTTGCAGCGCATCTATGAGAGGGTACAGGCGAAAGGGGCAGCCGATGTCAAAAAGTGGATAGACCAGATGAAGAAGATGGTTTACACGGACTCGTTTGTGGACTTCGGTCTCACCAGCTGGAACGACATCGACTTACGGCATGTAGCGGTAGAAGGGCGCAAAGTGCGGCCAGCGTACCCGCTAGTACGAGAAGCGATCGCCCACTTTGTGGAGCAGGTTCAAGGTCGGGCTGTCTTTTACAGTGACCAAGCAGTCTGGGCCGCTCTGTCCCAGGAGCTTGCGGGGGAGCGGGTACCGGCGGTAGCTGGGCTTCTGACGGAGCGCTGCGCCAGCGGCGCAATCATTGATGGTCAGGGCTACAAGGCTGTGCTAAAGATGGAGAAGACGGAGCATCCCAAATTGGTGTTTTTCGACCGCGACGCAGAGGCTTCTGCTGTGCTGACCGAACAAGAGGACTTCCGGAAGAGCGGACTTGAAACACGGATTGCTTGCTTCGTGCCTCGGACGCCGTTCTACCCTGCCATGGATATGGCCATCCTGGTGTTCAAAAAGCCGAAGGACCAGCAAGGTAATTACTCATTCACGAGCTTCTGGTTATGGCCCTTACCTGCTGTCATTGACCAGTCGATACAGTCAAGTGGTACCACCAAGCGCCCGACAGAAATCCGAAGTGTTGCTGGTTTGTATTGACTGTCTGTGGGACCCGTGAACTTTCAAGCAGCTTCGTCACTACCTACCCAAGGTCCTCAATGAGTTGCTAGATGCCAAGACGTGCGGATGCAATGTCTGCAATTCCAAGGTTGTGTGAAGAGACGGGCTAAGTTTGATCCAAGCTCATCCATGCCATTTTGCAGGGGCTGTGGAGCGGCTCACGAAAGTTCAGATGACACTGGAGTCAGCGCACGACCATCGTCGCTCGACCCAGACTGCAATGCATATTAGCAACGTGAAGCCTTGGCTGGGCGGTGCCGAGCTTAATTCCGTGGACGTAGATTTCTGCTACATCGTGCCGGGTGGTCTTGTCACGGGCCCTATTCCACGGCATACAAAGTCAGTAAAGGCAAAGTTGGGGACCGAACGAGGACAAACGGGGTCTGTACAGATCGTTGCGCATACTCACATAGAGTTAGCTTTTGGCCAGCTAGATGGAAAGCTAGGACAGGTGGATAAGTGGAAGCGAGGGGGAAGATAGCCTGGTATTAGCGAGAGCTGTCAAAGAGGCCTTAATTTCAAATATGGATGCTCCCCGACTTTACTCTCTGATTGCATCCCTGATGCTCCCACTTTGTGAGCAGTTCCGGAGGATAATCTGCTGCGCATTCTCTGCTGGGAATAATGGAGTCTTGGTAATGGGAAAGTGTCCACTTCCATGCAATCCAAAGCACGTACATAGACTACATGGCACCATTTCCGACCACACCATGCACTTGATATCACTGTATGAGTGAGGAGGGCCTCCGCTAGCCCACTTGGCCACTTCGAAGCAAGAACGCTAGGTGCAGAACTCAATCAAGCATTGCAAGAGGCCAGTTGGCGCGACCTTACATTGGGCCTCCCGGGCGCACCCCTTTCTTGCAAGGCTATATGCCATATTTCGGGTGGAATTGCAGCCTCGCGTTCAGACCCGGTCGGGCCAGACCCGTAGCGGGTGTTCCGGCTCACCGCGGTGTTTGGGACGAGGTAACGTGGCGCGAGGATTGGCCAATTTTTTGCCGGATTTCAGATGTTAGTTGGCAGCAAGCAAATGAAGTA